CAACGCACGATCCACACTAGTATATATAAATCATTGAAAACATCGAAACCATTTAAGAAAGTGATGCCCCATTTGTCCTATTATAAACAAGACAAAAGTTCGAGGAATAAAATGTGAAGCTTTTCGAAAACGAAATTCCGTGACTTAAGTCATCTTGGTATAGCCGGCAAGTACGCACACTAGAAATGCACTAAACGTCCCTTTAAACAAAGGCATTAACTATGAATTACGACAAACCAACACTTACAGCTTATTTATCCAAGATTTAGTTCAAAATATCCGAAGTGAAGAGGGCTCGATGGCTACCAATGAAGAAGAATCCGTTAGCCTTGTACAAGCGCTTGATAAAAAATCCGGGTTCAATTTGGAAACTGGAATCTACCATTCCCTTGTTCATTTGAGTGAAGATGATATGATCCCTACTCAGCCTAATCTTGACACAGCTACATATGTGCTATCACAGTTCCCTCCTCTTGACCAAGCCGAATCCCGAGTAGCACTTATCGACTCCACCACTCATGAAAGACTCACTTATGCTCAACTCGACTGGTCCACTAGAGCGCTTGCTGCAGGATTTTATCATGGACTAGGGGTGAGGAAAGGCGATGTTGTGTTTGTGTCATCACCAAACCCGCTATTGTACCCGATCATATGTCTGGCTGTACTCTCCGTTGGTGCAGTTCTGACAACAGCCAATCCACTCAACACTGCAGCAGAAATTGCCAAACAAGTACAGGATTCTGGGACGAAACTGGCTATTGCTGCACCAGAAGAGATGCACAAGTTAGTGCCCACTAAAGTGCCTACTCTTGTTACTTCCTACAGTAAAGAATATGATAATGCACTTACCATTCCAGAATTGGCTGAGAATTCTGAACAATTAGAAATTCCAGAAGCTAAGCCGGTTCAGTCGGATAAAGCAGCAATTCTGTACTCTTCAGGAACTAGCAAAGGAGTCGTATTGACACATTCAAATTTCACATCTATTATGAAACTGCTCAAATGGTCAGTGAATGTATCAAAGTCTCAGAATGATATTTTCCTGTGCTTTGTCCCCATGTTTCACATCTACGGTCTCGTATTTTTTGGCCTTGGAATGTTCTGTTCAGGCACAACAACTGTTATCATGCAAAGATTTGATTTCCAAAACATGCTTAAAGCTATTCAGAATTACAAGATCAACAACTTTCCAGCCGTTCCCTCAGTGATACTCAGGTTGGTGAAGTATCCCAGAGGGGCATATGACTTGTCGTCATTGCGCAGAGTGGGCTCGGGCGCTGCTCCACTGAGCAAAGAGGTGGCTGATGGGTTCAGAGAGAAGTTTCCTTGGGTCGAGCTAAGACCTGGCTATGGGCTGACAGAGAGCTCTGGTGGAGCAACTTTCTTTGTTTCCAACAACCAAGCGATGGCTCGTTCAGCCTTGTCGGGGAGATTGATTCCATGTTTTAGTGCCAAGGTAGTGGACGTTGAGACGGGAATGACATTGCCGCCATATAAGCAAGGAGAACTGTGGCTGAAAAGCCCTACAATAATGAAAGAATACCTGGGAAATGATGAAGCAACTGCTGCTACGTTCGCCTCAGATGGGTGGCTCAAAACTGGCGATCTTTGTTATATTGATAGAGATGGGTACCTGTACATAGTAGATAGGATAAAGGAGTTGATCAAGCATAATGGTTACCAGGTACAGTAATTTCACATCTTGTATATGTTTACAGAATACAAGGGGAAATACTTGTAGTGACTTACCTGCTGAAATGTTGCAAATGCAGGTAGCTCCAGCAGAGCTGGAAGCAATATTATTAAGTCATCCCCATATACTTGATGCAGCAGTCATACCGTACATTGCCTGATGTATCTTTCATAAATAACACAGAACCCTAATCCCTGTCAAATACCTTGGTGTGTGTGCACGCGCTCACACTTAACAAAATAATGGAATCGTGCAGGGTTGAAGACGAAGAATCAGGACAAATACCCATGGCATATGTGGTGAAAGCTTCAGGTTCTGACCTAAATGAAGATCAGGTTATCCAATTTGTTGCCGAGCAGGTATGTACAGCCGTCACTCACCTACCCCTGCCCCCACCACACGCACGCACACACAAGATTCTTCTGCAAGCTAACCCTTGCTGTTGCCATAGCATTCTCAAATTTACTGCAGAAAATCTTCAGGTAGCCCCATACAAGAAAATTAGGAGGGTGAGCTTTATCAGTGCCATACCAAGGTCTGCTGCAGGTAAAATTCTACGGAGGCAATTGTCACAAAGCAACCAAGGAGACCTTTCCAAATTATGAATGGAGTTTACACGGTCCAGAAGTAAAAGGTCGGGTCTTATGTTATCTGCAACATTGCACGGAGTTTACATGGTCCATAAGGACAAAAACTCGAAAATGTTCGGCTTTTAAGCATTTTAAGTAATAGAAGCATTTGTGGAATTATATTGTTTTCTAAGCAATCATTCGCACAGTAGGTCCTAATTGATGTATATAATTTGCATTTCTTTTAGAAATAAGGTTTTTAGCACGAGTATTAGAAGTTAGAACCATCAACGTAATAAATATCTCAACGATAAGGCAAGTCCCCCCTCCCCCCACGCCATGAGAAAAAGAGGAAAGAGGAAGCAAGAAAAGAACCACAATAGTAAAATGCAAGACTAAGCATAGGATTTCTCTCAACTATCCTTCAAATCTTGTTTTCGTTCACATTTGACAAAAAAAAGAGACTAACAGAACTTCTCCAATCAAACCATGCAACTGTGTTTTATAATTCCACAAAATCTCACTTCGTCCAATTCTACAAAGACTGTTAAATTATGATGTGTGCTCAAACACACATTCATAATAGAGAGAGAGCATCACCAGCCACGTGACATTCAAACAGAATGAGGACTGTGTACAAAGATGACTTTCAAAGAATGCAATTCTCATTTAAATAGGAAGTGACATAATTGCACAAAAATGAGTTCGACCAAGTCATTAAGTTAATACTGCGTGAAGTAGTGCAATAAATAACTAGCAATAAAAGGAAACAAGGAGCATTAGGTAAACAAAACATCTTAAAAGATGTCGTATTGCCCTAATATGCTTGCAAGATGGTACAACCACATAAAGTACTCCAATACTCTTATCACGTTAATTGACCAATCCGAAACAATGATATTGCTCCCAAGATTGCTATGGAAAGAATTTTGATTGGCAACATGTAACCTTAAGTATTACAATGGCAAAAGCATCTAAAAAGTGAAAACCAAATACACACTGAATACAAAGGCAACAGGGTATGTCTTTTTGACATCCCCCAAATAAATCAAAATTGTCTAAGAAATGAAATTGAGCCAGTAAAAAATAATAAGTACCTTGGATAAAATCTAACAGATTAGTCAAAATATATCTCCGTGCCATTGTGCTTTAGTCTCAAATTAACACAATCCAATAATCACAATAAAGCAGTACTCCATATACTTAATTACAGGTTAAGACTTATACATGACAAAGATGGCATATGCAATAAGATGTATTTATAAACAGAAGATAAGAATTCATTCAGCAGATTGTAATACTAATACCACCAAAAGGCACCAAGTCACAATCTTCGTCTTCTTCTGTCCTTTAGTGAACATAATTTACCTCTGATAACAATTAAGACAATCCTAAGTATCTATAAGCTCCTGAAGCTGCCTCTCCAATTCCTCCAATCGGGCAGTCCATTCAGTTTTGATGCATAAGGGTCTAACACTAGTATAATCTACAGACCCTTGGATTTCTCGTTCAACAAATTTTCTATCTCTAGATATAGTGTCCCTTTTGTCTTTCTTTTTCTTGGATTTGTGGGCATTGGCTCTTTGTAGAGCCCATAATACATCAGCACCGCTCAGCTGCCCCTTTTGCTCGTCTTTTGGTTCTTGATTTTGTTGATTTCTAGACTTGTTGAAGGTGTTTCGCAGTGGTTTATTGGATTTGAGTGCACTGGCATCTCCAATATATTGGGTGGATTCTTTATCTTGATAGTCGAATTTGAGGCTCTGAACGGCAAAGGAAACACTTCCTTGCGGCAGTGGCGGTCTGCTGGTGGTGGTGGTGGTGGTGGTGGAGATGGTATTGGGACGCCATGGTCTTAGGGATGAGAGTGTTAGCGCCGCGGACATCGGTTTTGGCGTCTGCGTCTGCGCTTCTCTGTATTGTTTTCTGGCATTTCCTCTAGGCCATCAACTATGAAATTCCCACCCAAAATAATTTTGTGGCCGATTTTCGTTTCCCTTGTCTTGTTTGGCTAACCTTAAAAATTATTTTAACTTATTTTTGACGTTTATTTAGTAGTAAAAAAATATTCCTTATTTTCAAATTTACTAATAAAACTTAATTAAATTATAATTAATTTCACTTGTAAGTAAAATTTTCAATCTTATTGGCTATTGAGCTTGAGTTCTTATTTAATAAAAATATTATTTATACTTTGTTCTCTATTTTAACTCTCTGTTTATTTTACTTAAGAAATATTTATTGATTTCTCCTCATATTTCAATTTAACATAATTTTTTATATGTCAATAGCCAATCAATTTAAATGTAATTTTAATAATTTAAAAACTAAAGTATTGAAATCTACGACTTATTAAATGCAATCATTGTACATTTGAGAATGGAGAGTGACCTCGGCTCTCTAAATTCATTCTCTATTTTAAAAAGTTAAAATAAAGAGTTTCTTGAAATTTATTTTTTAACATTGACTCTTTAAAATAAAGAGCATTTTGTATTTAGAAAATCTTTTGGAGATGTAGATGCTTTAAGTACTTTATTTATAATATGTAATTACTTATTGACAGAAGTAAGTTCATTAACAGCAGCAAGATGAAATGAAATTCGACGTGTGATTAAAAATTCGAAAAAAGTTATTGGTTCTCATGTAAAATTATTTTAGCAGGAGAATGTCCGGTTGAAAATGGGTTTGAAATTTTTAATTTTTTTTTAATAACTTGTGCCAACACAATCGCTCAATTGTACAAGGACTGTGCTCAATGAATGTCACTCCTTTAAATTGGAATTCATGGTATACTCCAATTCTCATATCAAAAAATGCAGTATGATCCACTGAATCCACAAAGATGGCATGTCCATTGGGTACTGGTACTAGTAACAACAAAATTAAAAGTATAATTTGAGATTTCGTAAGGCCGTAGCAGAACAGAACGTGGCAATTCCTAGAGCAGATTATGACACTAGTGCTATCACAAAGGCAACTAGTTGCGATCTGCTGCTTCTATTTCTTCATCCTCTGGCACCCTGCGAAGATGAACATTATTACATCTGCAAAAGCAATTCACAGAAGAGGACTCATTTGACCAAACAGAATGCAGTAATACACAAAAACTCTAGTAGCCCCTGATTGATGTAAATTAAAATTGGTTTTTTAGTTGATTTTGATAAAAGTGAATGAAATATGTGGTAGAAAAGTTATGACTTGAGATTAGCCCCTGTTTGATGTAAATTAAAATAGGATTTTTAGTTGATTTTGATAAAAGTGAATGAAATATGTGGTAGAAAAGTTATGACTTGAGATTATAATCTCGACTAAACAGAGGCTAAATTGTACAGCTACAACTGCTGTATCACTAGTGGAGACAACTGTAACTATGAGCAAATAAACCAACTTTTCCCACTTTACAAAGAAAACAGGTCACGCTCAACGCTAAAAGAAATGTGTCGTGAATGCATCAATACCATGATATCTTCAAAAAAATGACGGAAAAAATATATGGCATCGACTGACTGTGAGTTCCTGATCAAGAGCTCTCCAAGACTTCCACTGGAACTGTTCATCAATGTATTCTTCAGCATTTGCAAGCTGCCAAAAAAATTATCCAATAATCATAAAAACAACTGAGATAAATTTTATTTGACAGCCCAACCTCTCATTTGACACCCTAATTGCTTGTGTAATACAAGTTCATACGAAATAGAACCCTAATGCAGAACAACATGTCATTTTGATTTTGGTGCAAAAACCTAATGACATCTCTCTATAAATATAACACAACAACAATATCCTTCTCAACAAACTCAGGGTTGGTTGCATAGTTATGTGTCTATATATCACTTCCTTAACTACCTTAAACCGTTTTTAGTTTACCTTTATACACTGATGTTTCAAAGAGACGAAGAAATAATGTTTTACCGCATTACATCGAGAAAAGAACTAATCTATGGATATCCTGCATTTTTCACGTATCCACACCACACACTAAGAGATCAATGGATCAGATATGTGAAAACATTTCCACAACAGAGAAGACCTCACCCATTCCCAAGATCGTGTCATATGACAGTGAACACACTTTCACAAAGACGTGAACTAGCAACCATAAGTCTAGAGATTATATTAAAATTAAAAGTTGTGGAGTTACATACTAGTTCATGTACGAATCAACTGATACGAGAAACCTAAAAGTAAAGCCAAAGAGAGTAAAATTAACCTCTAGATAATGAAAACTGTGCACACTGTACAAATATGTAGAAGTTGAGAGGAGGATAAGAGAGCTGACGATCTTTGTACTCCATTCCCCACTTGAGTTTTACCATTACAGGCTTCCCAGTCAAATTGTTTAAAAATGGCTTAGGGTTAACTGGTACAGTCTGCAAGCATAACAAATGAAAAAGTAGTACATAGTTTCTGTTGGAACCTAAACTGTATCCATTCAGCAGCAGTATAATATATGTGTTTTCCAGATCAAGCATGTTTAACTATTAGAAATCGAAAGGATTAAAAAAGAATATTCATTCAATGAAATAATAGAATTGCATAAAAATGCCAACTGCCACCCACCAGTATATCCTTTGATTCAGTAAACTTTCTTCTTTTTTTTCCAAGAAACTAAGAAATTATGAAAGTACTTCCAAAATAAAGTCTAGTTATTTTCCATCTATTTCTAATCATATGAAAGAGGAAGAAATGTTGTCATGTCAGAGATAGAATCAACAGTTTAGAAAAGAAATAAATAAAAGTCAAAAAATGGTTGTCCAGCCATCTAAGATTTGTTTGCATTTCAATTATGACATTGAAACCAAAATTGGAGAGCAGTGTATTTGTATTTCAATTGGTTTCCCTTCCAACAGTGGTCTAAAATGGGGAGCAACAGTACAGACAGCTAAAGGAATCCACCAAGACCATATCCCCCACTGCCTGCTCAACCAAAAAAGAACCCAATAAAAAGGAGAGAAAAGGAAGAAAAAGTAAAACCATCCTTATTTACATTATCATTCAGCCATTGCCAAGCTACATACTTGACACATAAGATGAAATATTACCAGACCATATTCCTTTTTGTTAACTTGTCTAATGAGATTAGGCATGTGTGTTAATAGAAAAACTATAGATTTCATCTATGCCGTTCTACCCGCCCCTCCAATGACATTATCCCTCGCGCCAAACCCTGCAGTTACCAAATCAACATAAAAGTCTATGCCACTAGATGTACAATCACAGCTCTAATCCTCAATAGACAACCAATGATGCTAAACCTAAGTCACATAATCCCTAGGGTCGCACTCTCACTTACTCCTCCCAGTCTTACTCTTGCTCAAAACAATTTTAAATGGACATTAGGAAGAATTCTCAATCAAATAAGTTTGTCTCGCAATGTCTCATTCTCATTGAAGCTCTATCACACTCCACTCCAGAGTTAATGTCGCTTACCTCCAGAGTCAAACACCAGCTCCATGAAAAGAAGTTGATTTTTATGGACTCTTACAATCAATTATCCACACCACAATATTCCAAAACCCAAATTTCTAAACCAGTTCGCTTCTATACGAATTTCAGTAATGCCCGCATTCTCGTGCATGAAATGTGACACAAATTTCATTTCCCAAAATAAATAAATCTAACCATCAAAGAATTATTATTTTATAAAATATTAAAAAGCTATGAAAACTATAAGAACGATAGATTCCATTTTTCTAATCACGCTGTCACTAAAATCAGACAAAAGGAATAAAAGCTCACAAATAGAAACAAAATCCCTAAATTTTGAAAATCGTAATATGCGTGAAACCATAAATACAAACATCAGTTCAATTTTCATAACAAAAATCAAAATTAGGTGAATTCAAAGCGCACTTACGGCCATTAGAAAGCGTGTTTTTGAAGGAAAATAGAGGATTCACTAATTTTTTTAAAAAAATTATGTTTTATTATTACATAAATAAATATAATTTTTTGATTTCGACTGGATCTAGGTTACAATTTTAAGTATCCATCAAGGTTAAATTTCAAGCATCCACCGATTTGGTTATACTAGCACAAAATTTACTTTTTACATCCTCGTAATATTACTATTTTATTGTCCGCATATTAATTACTTCGCGTATGCTATGATGTTATTCTATGTTGTACAAGCATATTGTCTATAGTGATATGTAGTCAAATGAACAGAAATGATCTAATGAGCACCGGTGCTCATCTTATCCTAAACACCGATGAGTTGGCACATTAATTCATGGGCTTGTTACATCTTATATGTTTCAAGAATTTTTGAGGCAAAGTTTGAAAAAATGATCGATTTATCATTCTTTTGCTCTGTTATCACGAGTATTTGAGGAGGAAGGTGTAAAAATCGTCCCCAGTTTATTATGTATATGTGTATTGGAGATATTGGACTGTCTTTTAGTTTGGTTTACTCTATATTACAGGGGAGATGCTATCGAAATTTCATATTAAGCTCATGTTTGGGCTCAATTTTTTTGAAAACTCATTTTTAATTACCCACTCTTCCATAAAATAATATTATATGTAAATTCAAAATTTTTCCTTATTTTTTAATCACAAATTCTTAAAAATTCACTATTCCAAAATATTTTTTTTTTTTTTTTCAAAAAATCTAATTTTAATGGAAACAGAGGTTAGATCTTGACTTGTTATCTTGAGAGTCAATTTGTAATCCCTTACCTATTGAAAGTCGACTATAATTCTGAGGACTTATGCCTTCATAAGTCCTCACCTATTTGGATTGACATGTATTTCATATGCAATTCGTAGACCTTCACTTTGTTGACAACTTATATTTCAAAATTGATCAGCACTTAGAGCATCTCCAAGTGACTCTCTATTTTTAAAGAGCATATTCTATCATTTGGAGAGCATCTATAAATTT